GCAGAACTGGAGAGAGGGGTGAAAAATAAATAAAGGTGGGCATGGCTCAAGTAGGGCGCAAAATTATAGACAGAGAATGATTGACAAATTTTTCACTTTAAGCCCTCACACTGTCATATTTGTGTAGGAATTAAGCTACAATACATGACGTATGTTATTTTAATTAATAAATACAGTGTGAATAAAGATTACATAACATAAAAATAACTGCAGTCTTTGTTATTTGATAGCCGCTTAAATTAAACAATTTTTATAGGGCAAGTAAAAACTGACTTCGGGCAAGTAGATCTCTGACCAACTTGCCCGACCGGGCAAGTGAAAAAACGCCTTAGCGTTGAACCCTGATAAGGTAAGATTATTTTTCTAGCCATTAAGCTCTTGAGCAGAAATATTTCCTAATTGTTTGTTATTTTTTTACCAGCTCACAATAGATACCTTTTGTTCTTTCAACAACGGGCTGTGTTGTCATTGTGCTTACTCTGGCATCTAGCATCTTGAATCTGTCCTGTCAGTCTTCCAGTTTGACTTTTTGAATGACCAATACAGACTGCCGTTGCCTTTTGCTATGGTGAGTTATTTCACCTCACACAGGCACATAATGTACATGCAAGTTGGTTGTTAGCTGCAGTCTAGGTGTGTTCAAGTGCAACATTTTTGACACAGGCGACGTGAGGCAATGCAACAGTCGGCCTTCGTTGACATTAGTTCTCTGATTGTGGTTCATTAGTCTGGGCCTTTATGAAGAACAGTCCAGAAATGTCTGAATGGAAATTCTTCAGGTATTCTACATCGCTCGTTATTTACACCATATACACTATACATTGCTTTGAGATATTGTTTATAATGCAGCCTGAACATAGTACAAAGATAACTTTCCAGAGGTAGATGCCTGATGTGGTAAATTTCTGTTAACATCACTTACAGCATAATCTCTCAAGGCAGATTCTGCAATTTACATTGTAGAGTTTGAACGATGCTGCGCTTTAGCCAATCACAATTGAGGGGGTGGGCTTTCTAGACATCGTGATTTCCCAAAACTGAATAAATACCACACATAGCAACACAAAACTGCTTTGCTAGCTCAATCATGTTGTAACTAAGATATCCGCTGGAAAAAAAAAAAATTTCACGGACCGTTTATTGAGTTACTGAGTTGCTACAGACACCACTAACGGGGCTAACAGCTAACAGTTAGCCCAGCTAATCTACGATAAGCATGTTATTAATTACAAAATGTGCACACAGAAATAGTAATGTTTGTTCAATCATTGTGCTTATAGACTTTACAAACATCAGATTAGTCTAAACGGTGATATAGTGACGTGAAAAATGTGAGATATATAAATATGTGTATATATATATATATATATATATATATATATACACATATATACATATATAGCTAAACTCTGCTTTTTTTTTTTTTTTTTGTATTTGTAAACAACAAGGCTATTCTCTGGGGGCACCTCCGGAAGTGAAGGGGTTGAGCGATCCCCGAAGCCCCTGCACTTCCGTTAGTTGAAAAACTACAGGCAATGCCTCCAGAGGTAAAGGAAGAAAAAAAAATCCTTTTTTTTTTTTTTTTTTTTACCGATGGATTTCCAGATTGCTTACAGCATAGATATGAATTTTGTTAATAACCCAGAGAGTGTTTGCAAATGGTGAAATGATAGAGGTGATTCAGTGGAAAAGCTTACTGTGACCAAAAAACTTGCCTTGGATTGCAGTTTGTTGCATTATAAGAAACTCTAATAAAAATTCAGTAGAGAGTTTTAAATGGCTAAAACTCCCTTCAGTAGTCCGACTAAAGTAGGAGAGAACTCCCCTGACCTGAACTGATTGTCATGCATAACTGCCTTAAACTATGATTGTGTCATTGGTGTTCATGTGCCTTTAAGGTCATTCTCAGGTTACACACACACTCACACACATGTACATTTGTCTGTCTGAAGTTCTTCTCTAATCCAAACCTAACCCACATTTTTTAATCTTTTAACTTTCCAAAAACTGTTCTTGCTTGAAATGTGTAAAACATGTGGTTTTCACAAGATCAGAAGTTCAAACACACACAGACATGCTCTCTCACTTTCTCACTCTCTCACTCAAACACACACACACACACACACACACACACTTCTGCTGTGCCACTGTTGGCTGTGTATCTGTGCATGACGCGTTACAGTGTACCCTTTCCTGTCCTCTCCTCCTTTTCCCTCCTTCACCCTCTCTTATCTCCTGCTGTCCTCCTCTTCCTTTCCGTCACTCTGTCACGCTCCACCCTTCACACACACACACACACACACCCCTCTCTCTGTCTCCACACTGAAAAATGAGAAATATTATCTTGTCTTTCAGCTGCAGTTTTCTTTTCCATCCATCTTAATGCACTCAGTCTTTCTCCTCCAGTCTCTCTCTCTCTCTCTCTCTCTCTCTCTCTCTCTCTCTCTCTCTCTCTCTCTCTTACTTTGTATGTTTTCATTTCTCTGTCTCTTCCTCTTTTTTTTCACTGCTGTCACTTCTGCCTCCAGCTTTGTTCTCCATATGCTCTATGTTACACTTTGGTTTTATTCTACCACAATATACCCGCACTCAATGATTTGTGTGTGTGTGTCTGTGTGTCTGTGTGTGCATGTGGGTGTGTGTGTTTAAGATATGGTAAGAGAGAGCACTCAGTTGATTTTCTGGGAAAATTGTATTCATCTTATTCAACCCACCTTAGTTCTGTAACACACACACACACACACACACACACACACACACACACACACACACACTTTGTGTCATTCCAATTCTTTCTCTTTAATCTTCAGATGATGATGGCAGGCAGCTGGGTTGTGACCTAGAGTTGTCATGACAACAGATGACTGTTGACATCAAACCCAGGGGATGGTGATTGTTGATGTGGTGCTGTTTTTGTGTGTGTGTGTGTGTGTGTGTGTGTGTGTGTGTGTGTGTGTGGTAATAAGTCCATCTGTATTGCCCAACATATACCATCAAAGTAGATTTCAGTGGTTTATTTCAACCCTACACTGTCCCTGTCTCCTGTCATTTTTCTCCTCCTCTTCATCTTTAGTTTTTAACATTTTCCTCGCAAGAGAAGCCCGGTATATATTGTGCCATTTTGGGCTGTCCCAGACAAAAAATGACCATTGTGAAACGTTGCAATATCTTTGGTTGTGGCTCTGAAACTGTGGTCCTACTTGCACAGTGAGAGAGGTCTAAGGATGGCCATTGTCACTGTCTTGCGATCAAAGACAGCCTTGGATAAAATTCTAAGCCAACCAATAGAAATGCTAAACCCAAACTAACAGACAGATAGCAGCTCACAATGGAAGCAAAATGCCCTAAAAGAAATTTGTGGGGCTCCAGCAAAGAGGAAAACCTTGTGGACTTGAGGCAACAGAAGCCTTGCCTGAATGATGTGTCCTCCAGCTCTTACCATGATTGCATAAGTATGGAAGGAAACAGCAGCGGGGTTGCTGCTGCCAGGTGAGCAACCTAGTAGCTAGCAAACAGGCACACTGCAGAATATAATGCCCACAAAACTTGAGGTCATTTAATAATGTGACCCTCTATGTTGTGCTCCGCATTTGGAGAAGTCACAACCCATGCAGCATCCTTGCATTCTCAGTATGGGAAGCTATTGCATCGTACGTCATAGCCTGTGATTCAGTAGGCGCTGTCATTGTACAGTCTGCATACATCAAACTTGAGGTCTTACCCAAGTTTATTAGATCCATGTCGCACAGTGTAGCTGCATTGAGCTTATAAGATTGCTAAAACCTCACAGTCTGTAGGAGAGTTAAGGTACAATGCATGATGGCAGTTCTATTAAATCACTACTTAATAAGCACACAACTACAAAGCAACTCCATAAATCTGTTGCATAAATGCACGCCAACACACATGCAGCAGACTGTAACTGCTGTGATATCCATGGCTGACATCAGTTGTTAGTCAGCTGGGATGAGATAAGCAAACTCCACTCCTAATAAAGATGTTCTGTGCCTGAGTAGGTGCTGTAGTATTCATGATCTGTCTTGCTCTCAAGACTGGTCTCCAGATCACTCTTGAAGGTCTCAGTATCATCCTGGACTCGACCACATTTCCACTCAGCCTCAAACAAGAGGACTCGGGAGTGTTGAATAAAGATGGTTAAGTTCATTTCAGCTCCTTAGTGTTTGTTTGCTCATAGAAAACAAAGGAAAAGCCCCACACATAAAAATTCAACACTGCAATGCCTTCAAGAAATGTCTCATGGCACACTCATACATACACACATCTAGGTATACGGTATATGATATTAAAAGATGTGAATAAAGATGAATCTTCGTGTTTTTGTGAGAATGTGGATCTGTCGGATCAATTTGAGGAGTGCATGTTACACATTATTGTAAGTGTGCCATGCAGTGTGGTATTCACACTGGTCCGATCTTGGTCTTGACTTGGAGATGGCTTTCACATCAGGGACCTGGGCCTCTATCCAAGTAAACTTGACCCCAAAGTCTTAGATTGATTAATGTGAACACTGTGTACTGTATGCAGGCACGGTATCCCAATCCTAACTTGAGTTCACTTGAAAAGAAACTCTCGAGTATGATTTATGTGTAGTTCATTACAGTATGTATCTAGTGTGAACACCAACTGTAACAAAACTTGAACATGAACTGCTATTTAACACAACTACAAGGAGTTTTTATTCACTTATGAAACAGTCTCAGTTAATACCGATGCCTCAATATCAGACGGCAGCGCGCTCTGTACTTTGGCATGGTGCCAATCAATTGTACCTAACATCAACATACCATTGGTCTCAACCCCTTAAAGTCTTGGTCTCGTCTCGGTCTTGATACTCTCCGGTTTTGCTCATGACTTGGTCTCAGTTAAGATGGTCTTGACTACAACACTCCAAGTATGTACATAAGCGTGACTGCATTTTAGACCTTAATGTCACTTGGTCAGTGTGGATGCTCAGGTGGTCCTTCTCCTCTCTTTCCTAGGATGGACTAATGCTGTCAGGGGAAGACTCAACATGGCTCCTGCTAAAGGAGGCTCTAACCAGACTGGAAGGACTGAAAGCAGAGTCCAGTATCCTTTACCTTTAAGATCCACTGCAGCCAGTGGACACTGATCATTGTCATCATACATCATCTACTGTACTATGGAATAATGAATCAATACATCAAGGCCTCTCCACTGGCAACATTTCATCCTTTAAATAAAGTCATAAATATGAGTGTGCAGCTTTAATTGTCACATCACTTGGGCGCTCAGTATTAATGTTGCTTTTTACTCAAGTGACCCTCCAGAGTGGCAAGCGTTGCAAGAGAGCTGTAGTCATCTGTTATCAACTGTTGGGGGTGACGTGCCAGATGAAAATCTCTATAAACTCAGAATGACAGACATGGCTTTAGATGCCTGCATTCACCTGGGATGCTGGGAGGAAGCTCTGACATATGGGGAGAAATCACTTCCAATTTACAGGTGAGTCACAGTGTGTGTGAAGGAAATTTTCATATGGGGAAAATTAAAACTTCTGCGGCGTCCATAGATGGCTTATTTTTTATAATCTAAATGTATACTATGCAGGATTTTTCTTTAAAAGCGATGTATAGACTCAAACAGAAGTAACCCCTCTCAATCATCGCTTACGACCCACTAGAAGTGTGTGGCGGTGTATTTATCTACAGAGACTCTGCCCTCTGCCTGTGTTTTCTTATTTTCTTCTTATTTTCTCATGGGCATGTACCCCCACAGCGCTCAGGTGAGGTCAGGGCTTTATAAAAAGGTAGTGCAGCAGGCATCCAAGAGACACAACACCAAAAAAACACAAATATAGCGAGGCAAAACGCTTATCGAGAGGGAATCTGAGGTTGGATTTACTTTCAGTTTCACTGGCGAGCATTTTCACAAACAGTAACTGACAGCCCTGCATAGTACATCTTTAAAAGGGAAAAACATCTGCCTTTAAATCTGGATAACCACTCGGATTGAGTGGCTCTTCCTTGCTGATTCCAGTAGGGACAGCAGTGTGAAGAAAAGGACAAGAGTAACTCATCCAGAGTGCATCTGAAGTGCAGCTCCTTTAGTTAAGGCAGACTTGCACCACTGTCTTTACCAATGTGGCTTAATACTTCAAAGTTATTTCCTCAAAGATTTGGGCTGCTACTCAGTCCTGATGCCTCCATAGTCGTCACAAAGCTTCCAGACCGCATTTTATGTTATTTTAGACTCCATGGTTTTTAACACTGAAAGCGAGGGGGAGATTCTCAGGTAGATTACCTGCAGAGATCCAGGAGGTGCTCAGCAAGGTTAATGGGAAAACTTAGTATATTGTACTGATCTTTTGAGATAACATATAATGCATCCTATGCTTTTTGTTGAGTTCAAACTAGAGCGTGAGTTCTGAAAGCAGTGGCTGAGTGTTGAAAGATTCAACAGTGAGGAGATTTCACAATGCGGAGGATTTGACTCTGACTTAATGAAGTAGATGAAGATTTCCTTCTGTTATGTCTGTGGAGGCAAAATAACACTCAGCAGCGCTGGTTTAGAAATACATGATTATCATGTTTTGTGGACAGGCATCAGAGACATGTGGGTTTATATGGCTTGTTTATGGAATCCTGTTGTAAATCTTGGTCAAAATGTGCAAAATATCTGTAGACAATCTTTAAATTGAGCTTTAATCTTTGGCCAGCTGCAATAAATGTCTTCAAACCTCCAGATGCAGTGAGATGTCTGGGCAAGCCATGACCATTTGGTTTGACTAAATTAGAGGAAGTTAGGATCTAAAATATTTGTGTTTGAAAGTACAAGATTTGATTATGATGTGGCAAGAACAGAAAAGAGAGTAGAGGGGAATAATTCAAAATTCAAAGAGAAGTGTAAAGTGGTGACATTACACTGAGAGCAGATGTGTAAACAGCGAAAAGACAAAAAGTTGAGTATGTCGTTTGCAGCAAACAAAGAAGTACAAAGCAAAAGAGGACAAGAGAATGCACGGACACAGGAGTAGATGAAAAGAAGACCACAAGAGTGCTTGTAATGAGACTAAAATAATAGCTTAAATGTCTTGTCCTAATAAAGAGGGGAATTACTGAAAATATATTAATCTAAGATCTAAAAAAATCCAAAGTTACAGTGTAGTTTGAGCTACACATCAGATTACAGTAAATTGCATCAACAGTTTTAATTGTTTTCTGGATTAGGTCCTCTGGCCCTCACACATCCTCACCCCCTTTTCTCTGCAGTGTTGTTCTCTCCATCTCTCAAAGTCAACATTACTCCCGCCAACTTTTGTGTGTGTGTGTGTGTGTGTGTGTGTGTGTAAGACTAATTGGTCTTGTGTGAAGGGCAGAGCTCTAGTGGCATAGCTGCACTGGCTCTCTCAGTCTCACACACACACACACTGAGAGTGAACAACATATCTGCTGGAGAGAAAACAGTAACACAGCCTATCAATAAATAACCAGACGTGGAGGAGCAGAAAGAGAGAGATGGTGATGAGGAGGAGGGGATGGAGAGATTGGTGTCCGTTGGAAAGAAGAAACTGAGAAAAATGTGTCTCGAGGACGCAGAGGTGAAGCCAGAGTGAGAGACGGTTGTGGGGGTTTTAAGGAGAGAGCAGGGAGAGTAGTTAGGTGAGGATGGGCGTGATAACGGGGATACGAGCAGGTGATGAATGACGAATGAGGCAGGAGCGCGGGGAAGTAAGATGAGAGTGACAGAATCACAAGGGAGAGAGAAAGAAAGAGGAAAAATTGGGGTATGAAAGAGGAAAGTGGACAAGAAGAGGAATAGAGGAATGCACTGAGCATTCGTTCGGCAAGGAGGGGAGACAGCGATGAAGGAAAAAGCATGAAAGAGAAGGAGAGAAAGGCATTCAGGAGAAAATAGTGAGAGAGAGTAGGAGGAAGATCCTCCATATTCATCTCCTATCTTCCTCTGGGCTCTTCAGATGGCAGAGAAGAAAGATAGCTGCAGGAGTTCTCTATCTCTCTCTTTCTCCTGTCCTACCCCTCATTCTGTATTCCTTTCTTCTTTCACTCTCTCTGCAGGTCTTTTTTCGGTTTCTCTATGCTGTTTGTCATGTATAGAGAGGGTTTCCCTGTGCCTCTGTACAAATAATGCACACCTGCTGCAGGCTTATTGAATGTCTCCATGCTGCACACACACACATACACATTCACGAACATTCAAGAGGTGCTTCTTTAAGGTCTTGCACATATGAAGTATGTAACAGACATTTTGATTTTTCTTGCCTCTCTGGACACATGTTGTTGCTTTTCTTCCTTTATTTCCGTGGGTAACTGTCCAACCATAGAGGATGTTACTTCCCATTGAGGTTTGCGTGGCAGCACTAATAGAGAGTAACCGCTACATCATGTCAGCGATGTACAGCTTCTATTCATTTATGTTTTTGGTTAGTCCCTCAGAATTAATAAGCCAGAGCTCCTCTCTCTCTAGATGCACTGATTTGCATCTATTCAGCACTTTCATAGAGAGAAATCTGTTGCATAAGATTTCTGCATTCACTGTGGCCTCGGAGGGGTGGTGAAGTGCACCCACGCTGTCAGCCCTGATCAGTCTGGATCTGTTGGTGGTGGCATATGAAATAAGTCTTTTTAAAAAAGTGCTGTTTTCATTCTGAAGACAAAAGTATTTCAAACAAAATATTGACTGAAGTGGCAGACAAGTAGTTGGGGAAAAGAAAGTGTATGAAGTTTACCAACATGTTACAAAATAACTCATGTACTGCTTTGAAAACCACAAATTCATGAACAATGTAAGTGTACACAATGACAGATTTTTCCTTAAGTGGAATTCAGGGTCTTTTTAGCAGAACAACCCCGATGTGTTACCTGCTTATCTTTGCAGGTATTTATGAAGCCTGTGAGATGATTAACAGGTTAGGAAAGAATGTGAAGAAATATATTTCCACTAAAGAAAATTCAGACTTTCCTTCATATTTTTTCTCGTGAAATACTGGATAGATTTACTTTGGGTCCAGTGTGTCGGATTTAGTGGCATCTAGCCATGAGGTTGCAGAACTGAAACCTGTGTGCCAAGCGTGTATGAGACCTACAGTGGCCAACATGAAAATGCAGTGACCCTATAGAGCTGGAGCTGATGTGACCGTTCTTGGCTGCTGTAGAAACAATACATTGGACTTGTTATTATCAGGTGATTGTAAGCTAATAAAAACATAGTTATGAACAGTGCCACCGCTAAGGGCACCAAAGCATGCATTGTGCATACAGCACCAGTGTCAGAGGGGGGACCCAAAACTGCCCAATATGATGATCATCAGTTACAATTATATGTAATGCATTAACTCTCCCAGTTAAGGCCCTCAGAGACACAACATGGTTTGAGCAGCACTATAGATGGTTTCAGTGAACACAGCACAAGCTCGCCAAGCACTGCACTTGCAGTTGCGCTCGTACTTAAAGGTCAATATTGGAGTTATTGATACGGTCAGCTGCCTCTGCTGGGCCAAGTTTTCTTAAACTTAAGCTCATTAAATCATACCTATGTTTAACAATGGGAGAGAAACATCTGGTGGTCTTTCTGTCCTACCCAAATGACCAGCAGCAGCCCTGGTTATGAATTTGTTTCTTTCATTTCTGCCAATAGATGCCCCTAAATTCTACATAATGGTCCTTTAACTATTAGAGTAAAACAATGTAGTTATAAGTCAATATAGTTGAAACTTCTTAGAGTGATCATGTGGTGATCACCCACTTGTATGGACCAAAAAGCTTTATACAGAATCATTCCTTTGGAAATGCTGTTTAAATAATATGCTTAATGAAATCAAGTAGTCTGCTTACACTCTTCGTTTGGGGGCCTTTCATCCAAGACAACATATTGAAAAAATTTAAAACTACTGTTTTGTGTTTTTTATCTAACCTTACTCCCATCATGATAGTTTGCCTCGCAGTAACCCATCTGTTTCCAGCTGGCTACTTGAGGCTGGTGCTGCATGCACAGTGAAATCATGGTGAAAAGGAAGTAATTTTCTCTCAATGAAAAACATAGTCTCCTTGAAGATTATGACAAAGTGCCAAAAACGAGCCAACGAGATGCAGCAGCGAAACTTGGTGCTCCTCAGACTACCTTGTTCAAATAAACACAAGAAGTTTGTGCTCTATTCATACAACAAGAAACAGTGATGGAGACAGAAACTGAACATGCAGGGGTAAAGCTCCTCTAGTTGAAGGTGCCCAATCCTCAACGTCACGTAATGACCGTTTGGAACAGCTGTACTGTATTTTGAAACCATCAGTAAAATTCAGTGAGTACTAAAGCTGTTGGTTTCATAACATTATATACATGTAATAAATACATGAATACTAATTCATGCAAGCTTACGTGAGCGTTTGAGGGCCACTGTTGTGGATTACTATGGTGAGGTGAATTTTTCTGGAATAAAGGGTCAGCTAATTCATTAAACTGTGATTTAAACCTCATGTAAGTGTTCT